GGATTACTATGCGTAATTCAATTCAAAAATCCGCAATATTGCAGATTTGAAAAAACAATTGCAGTACCATCCTTAGTCATTCCTCCTTCCCAACTTTTTTCAAAAGAGAAAATTTCCTGATACTCATCAATATGAAGTACTATGATGAGTTGCTGATTATGTTGAAATTCTTTACTTTTAATATGGCTGAGCACCAATTCTATCCCAAAAAATTTGATATATGGTTCTACTAAAATCTTGAATTCTTGAAATGATATTTTTCTTTTTCTACACACAAAGTAGTCAAAAGCAACACGGAGACCAAGAATGGTGGATGCTTCCAAATTTTTATCAAAACTACTAAGGCGAACACCATTTATGAAATCAAGAAACAGATAGAGGTATCCTGGTTTCTCCCAACTAGGTGGCGAACTCCAATCTTTTTTAACAGAGTTGAAGAACTCATTTCCCCAACGGGTTTTACCTGATGAAATACATGAAGTTAATGGTAGCTGACAATACATGAAGTATATATAGTTATAGACAAATAGAATGAGTACCAATTCCAGCTGCCCCACTACAGACAAGGAAGTTGAAGCTTGACTTGGAAGCAAATCGATTAAAAGATTTAGTAACGTTATTATTGAATACCATCAATGCTTTATTAGTATCACGTTCCTTTAGTGGCATTTCGTATGGGATTTCTGTTCTCTTACTTGATGTTTCAATTTCAACTGGTATGTTCTGCAAGATAATGGATAAGGCCTCCTCAAACAATTCTTTGAGCATTAAAAAGCAAAAGTTAGTAGTTCATTATGGTATCAACTAATATTTACTAAGGTTGACTTACCAACAACAGGTCCTATAATAGGTGATGCATTTTTTGGCCAATAGGTAAATGAGATTTGTTAGAAATTTTTTGACATCATTCCAGGCCAATAGATACTCAGTTATTTAGATACTGTACCTCCTTGCTGGGAGAGACCTGCTAAAAAAAACAAGTGAACATTGGAGTAATGTCAAGTGAATCAGTAACAATAAATAACAAAAGAGAAAAAAAACAGGTCAGAAGCGATATACCAATACTCTTCTCAAACAAACAAATAAATGAACGAAATGGAATGAATGAAAAATTATTTTTTTATTTTTTTTTTTATGCAATTTGTTCATTACCTTTTCCCCCAAACTCTGCTAATTTCGTCTGCAAATAAATCACTTGGTCTCCCCACTTTTTCTTCTCCTCTTCCAATTCTTTTTCTTTTTCTTTTAAATCATCCCTTTCACCTTTGTAATCTTCTTTCACCTTCCCCCTCTTCAAATCGTCCAACCTCTCCAACCTCTTCTCCGCCTTCTCCAATCTTGCTTCTGCCTTTTCTTTATCTGCCCTAATATCTTTAATAGTTGTCATTTGTAAAGGTTAAAAATTAATTTTTAAAAAAAATTTGAACATCATAAAATAATTAACGTAAAAAAAAAATTGAACATTTGTCGTGTAGCATTATCTTTCTTAATTTAGTTAAATTATTAATGATCAAGCTGGTTGTTTCTTTTTTTTGATTTTTTAGTTTATTTATTTTATTTATTTATTTTAGTGAATGAATCTAAATAGTCATCTCAGCCTTTTTTGAACAAGATTTGTTGAACGAGAAATATTCCGTTTTATTAAAGAGCATATTCTTTCTTTCATTATGCTTTGCTTTATCTATGCTATGCTTTACTATGCATTAGCTATGCGTTAGGTTAGTCTTGCTTTTCGCTATGCTATGCACATCTTTCTTACCGTAAAAGCCCTCTATATATAGTCTGTCAAAAATCTTTTTAATAGTTTAGTAAATTAATTAACAAATAAATATATTTGTTTTAATAGTCTATAATCTAAAAAAGGAAATTAGTAACGTATAAATGCGTAAACAAAATTAATCTAGAACAGAAAAAAGTTAATTTTACGAATGATTTCATTTTTACTCATGATGATTAAAAAAAAATAATCTTTTACTAATAGAAACAAAGTTAATCTTTCCAAATGATTCATTTTTTTTTTTTTTTTTTTTATAATTGGTTAATTGTTTTTCAATGAAGTCAGAATTTGTTAATTTGTTCCAAAATAATTATCGATCTGAGAAATTCTTTTACATATATATATAAATATAAAAAGACTTTTCGCAAAAAAAAAAAATAATATAATATAATGTCATCGATTATATCTTCGGTTGTGTTTGTTAAAAGTGTTAGTGGAGAAAAAGTTCATACAGGCATAGCATATAGTAGAATAGATCATGATGAATTTATCAAAATTAATTTTAAAGCGTTCAGATACAATAATGAAATCATGATCCAAGAAATAAAAGAAAATTCGATCATGTTAATGATTGGACGTTTTTTAAATTTTGAATCCGAATTATTTGTAATGTTTTTCTTTTTTCATAAATCAAATTCTTTTTTTGATAAAATAATTTAATCAATTAAATGCTAATATTTAATGTTATTTAGGTAACTGTAATTCAAGCAACAACCTTGGACCTAAAAACCTTAGAAGAGGAACCCGATATGCATGATTTACCGATAGCACCATTATTTGGTTCTTTCACTTCTCCATGTAAAATGGCGGCAAAGCAAAAAGATGAACAAGGTCAAAGTTACTTTATATTGGAAAGAAATGTCTATAATTCTTTCACCACAGCAATGAATAAACTCATGATTCCTTGCACATATGCAACGTCGAATGGTAGAGAACTATTCATTGGAACGAGTCTTATACAAATTATATGTTCCGAGATCGAATGGTCTTTTCCCAATGCTGTGGTACAAAAATCTGAAAAAAGCAAAACCCAAAAAGGGAAAATTTGTTAAAACTAGAACAACAAATTATTAATAAAAAACAAAAAACAAACTCATCATCTTCAACGCAATTAATGTCAAATTTAACTGTGACAACATCAAATTCACTTCCATCTTCTTCAAATTTACTATCTTCGGAAGAATCAAGAAAAAGATCAGAGATGTTAATCCAAGCACTTGACCGAACAAACAAAAAAGACAAAACACCTATACATAAAAATGAAGACGAAAAACGACAAAATAGCTATCAAAGCAACGAAAGCAACGAAAGCAACAACGATATTGCGTAAATTTTTTTTTACATAAAAAAAAAATTCTTTCCCTTTTATTTTACTATTATAAATATTAAAAAAAAAATTCATGTTCATTATAAAAAAAAAAGAAATTTTTGTAAATATTTAGTCTAAACAAACAAAAAAATATAAAAATTAAATACTTAGCGAATATAATAGCTTTTACTATATTATTATATGATTTAATATAATAAAGTTTTTACAAATTAATAAATCAAATCTTTACGCATATCTATAAGTATAAAACTCTAACGGTTAAATCTTTTAAAACTAAATTTAAAAGTGATAATCATACATCTAAATAAGTAAATAATTTTAAATAAAAAAAAAATTCCGAATATACTTCTCTTCAATAAATCAATCATTAAATAACCAACAATTAATCAAAATCTATACGAAAAAAATGTACAAAAAAGATCTTTTTCCAATTAACGATTAAATTACTAAAAAAAATAAAATAAACCAACAATAAAAAAAATAATTTTATTAAATATTTATACGATATAAATAATAAAAATGAATTACCAAATAATAAATTATCCAATTTTGTATTGTCAAACTCCGAAATCTGCTCTATACAAAATACAAACGATCCTTTATTTACAACATATATTAAACGAAACGAAATAAATCAAAATCTACCAAACGCACCATTAAATACTCAAACCATTAATTGTTCAAGTCAAAATGATACATTATTTATACCATGGTAATGGCACCCACCGGAGTAGCAGCTCAAAACGTCGGTGGAAAAACCATACACTCAACCCTAAGAATAAGACAAATAGGCGAAAATTACCAAACCCTATCACTCAATGACGAAACTTCAAGAATCCAACTTACAAAAATTAAAGCTATAATAATAGATGAAGTTTCGATGGTATCAGACAAGCTCTTTTCATTTTTAAGTAACACATTCAGTATGTTACATAAAAATCACAAAATCTTTGGTGGCATCCCAACTTTGGTAATTGGAGACCTCGCACAATTGCCACCCGTAAATGGGGAACAGGTCTTCTTCTCACAAGTCTGGAAACCCTTCTTTCCCTTATTCCTAACAAAACCACATCGACAGAGAGACGACCTAAAATATTATCAACTCCTTCAAGAATTAAGATTCGGTACTCTATCAGAAAATTCAAAAAAAATGATTAACGAAAAAACAAGAACATCAAAAAATAAAAATGCCATTATAAACTCTACTCACCTTGTCGGACTCCGTTAAACAGCAGAACAAATTAATACACTAATTTGTCAAAGCTTACCATTCGACGACCAATATTGCGATCCAATAACCTCAAAAGCAATAGATAGCTTAAATTTCAAGATTCAAAACAACCAACAATCCTTCAAGCATTATACAAATCTTCCCGAATCTATCACAATCCAAGAAGGAGCAAGGGTAATGTATCTAAACAACAAACTAATAGAACATGACATCTGCAACGGAACAATAGGAATTATAACAAAAATAATAAACGAAGATAACATAGAAGTTACCTTCCCAACGAACGTGAACATCAGTAAAATGAATCTCCAAAAAACAACCATGAACTTCGAAGTAAATGGCACACACGCCTCAAGAAAACAATATCCATTACAAAACGCGTTCGCCTTAACAGTACATAAGACCTAAGGCGTCACAATACCACACACTACGTTAACAATAGACGAAAACATGTTCGCCCCAGGTCAAACCTACGTAGCAATGAGTAGAGCTCCCTCCTGGGATTAATTAGACATACTTTCATTCGATTTCGACTGCCTAAAAATAGACAACGATGTCGTAACAGAATATAGAAGATTAAATCGCATACACCAAAATGGGCTAACGAAACAAGATTAACAAAATTAAGAAAATTAACGATCACATAATCATACAAGTAACACAAGCTCCCATAGCATCCGAATTACACAAACTTGTTACATACAATAAACAAAACTACAGTCAGGATTATTCTGGATTTTTCTTTCGATCAATCTCATAGTGATGCAAACGAATTCACAAGATACTTCTTGTTATATCTATGTAGGGAAGTTAACGATCTCAGGGAGACGGTCTATCTGAAGGTTGAGATTGGATCGAATCAGATTGGACCGGATCGATCCTTAAGACCGATCCCAAATCAATTTTATATAAAATTACACAACGCGTAATAACGCGTCATAACGTTGATCATTTTTAGCCCAACCAGCCCAA